CGGGCCAGCCGCAGGGCAGCGCCACCAGCGCGCACACCTGCAGGGCGCGGTGGCTGCGCGGCGCCACGCCCAGCGGCAATAGCATAGGGTAGCGTGGCCGAGCAGGCCATCCGTCAACGGGTGAAGGGGCCCCGGTGGACGTCAAGAGGGACTGCGAGACCATCCAATAATCCAAATTGTTATAGCCGCGAGACGACTTGCAGGTGCCGCCATCGCGTCGGTAGGCCAGCCCACCTGCGATCCTTATGGGAAAATGCAAGAGCTCGACGACCTCTGGAATCAGGTTCCAGTCCGCCGCCACGGCGTAGGGGCGCCCGCAATGCGCCAAGACCTCGCCGATCCGTGACAGCTGCTGCACATTGGACCCCGCCATGCCGATGCCGCGCTGAAAGTAAGCGCCCAAGATGATGATGCCGCCCGTCATGGCAAAGAACACGTGGATGGCAACAGCACGGGATGGGACCACCGAGGGCCCCAACAGACTCGTGCAGCCCTCGAGCATCGTCGCCGAAATGTGGGATCTGACGAGGATGTCCACGCCAGCCGAAGCTCGCCAAGCTGTGTCCGGGCACAGGGTGTGACGAAGGGCTGCCAGCCGCATCCTCGACACCATTCCTCGGCACGTAAAAAGCTCGTCCCCGTCGAGCTTGAGCTCCTGGCCGACGGCCACGGCCGCGCCACTGGCGCCTGCTTCGAGGAAGCCCTAGAAGGTGGGCCAGCACGACCCATGAAGCTGGCCAGGCTAGAGGCGGTGCAGCGCCCAGCCTTGGGAGCCCCGGCCCTGGAGACGCAATCAACTCTCCTCAGTGGGGCTGGCCTCCATGCCTGCGTCCTCCCACATGCTAGGGGTGGCGCCGAGTCCCTGGCCCAAGGATCGAAACGACCCAGGCGAGGCAGAAGCAGCGCGACCAGGAGGAGCAGCAGCCGCCGCGGCGCCAGCCGCTGACGCCCGCCCAAACATGCCAGGTACGGCCAGGGCCTGCGGCGGGAGGTGGCCCGCCAGGACCTCGAAGTGCTCCTGGATGGACTGCAGGAGGTCGGTGTGACAGCCCGCCTAGCGAGCCTGCGGCGCGGCAGCCAAGAGGGTCTGCACGCGCCCGAGAGCCGCGGCCAACTCGCCAGGGTCCGCAGGGGCAGCGGAGGCCTGGGATGCCGCTGCGGCGCACGCCGCCCGGGCACCGGCGACCTCGTTCTGCAGATTGGCGAGGTCGGCCTGGGCTGTGGCGAGGGCTTGACGCTTGTTCTCCAGCTGTTCCGCCAGGCCACGCACCTATCCCTCCAAGGCTGTGACCTCCTTTGCCCGAGCCTGCATGCTGTCCAGCGCGCTGCGGTACAGGTCGTCGGGGCTGCGCGTGGCCCGCTCCGCGTCCTCGGCCTGCTCGAGGTCAGCCCGCGCTGCGGTGAGCACGGTGCAATCATCCGTGAAGCCCAGACGGCGGAGGCTGGCCACAGCCTGGCGACAACGCCTGACGCCGTCCGCCGCCGCCTGAGCCGCTGAAGGCTGCGCATTGGCTGGCGCCGCGCCGCCCGTCTGCTGAGACCGTTGGCCAGAAGAGCGAGCCCCAGCAGAGCCAGCGCGGGAATTGCCGCGCCGCCCTGGCGCCCGCAGGGGGTGGGGACCTGGGCGGCCCTGCCGGTCGCGGCCGCACTGGAAGCAGGACTCCTTGGTGGACCAGCCAGTTGCGCGTGAAGCCGCACTGCCGCGTGGCCACACAGAACCAAAGGCCAGCGCCGTCAAGAGGATCAACAGCGCCAGCCGAGCGCCAGGGTGAGGGTGGCGACGCTCCATGCATCCAAGCGTGATGCCCTCCCAGCAGCAGCCTGGCGCGCTCGACGCGGAGCACCCGCCTCGCCGCCCTGGCGGCGGAGGCGGCGGTGCCACGCGGGCGATCGCGTACGCCCTGCTGAGGGCGTTGCGCTGGGAGCTATGGTTCGGGAGCTCGGGACGCGCCGACCCACGCCAAAACGAGCTCGAGCCCACGCCTGTAATGATGATGACGACGACGATGATAATAATAATAATAATAAGAATAATAAGAATAATAAGAAAAATAATAATAATAATAATGATGATGATGATGATGATCATCATCATGATGATGATGATGATGATGATGATGATGTTCATGATGTTGATGATGGTGGTGTTGGTGATGATGATGACGATGGTGGTGATGATGACGACGATGGTAATGATGATGATGATGGTGATGATGGTGATGGTGATAGGGATGGTGATGGTGATGGTGATGGTGATGATGGTGGTGGTGGTGATGGTGATGATGATGCTAGTGATGGTGATGACGACGACAACGACGATGACGATGATGATGATATTGATGATGATGGTGGTGATGGTGATGGTGATGGTGATGGTCATGGTGATGGTGATGGTGGTGGTGATGGTCATGGTGATGGTAATGGTGATGGTGATGGTGATGGTGATGGTGATGATTGAAAGTATGATTGTGATGATGGTGGTGATGACGATGATGATGGTGATGGTGACTATGATGATAGTGATGGTGATGATGATGATGATGCTGATGCTGATGCTGGTGTCGATGCTGATGATGATAGTGAAGTGCTGATGCTGGTGATGATGATTATGGAGATGATGACAGAGATGGCGATGCTGATGAGGATGAGGCTGATGCTGATGGTGGTGATGATGCTGATGATGATGATAATGGTGATGGTGATGATAGGGGTGATGGAGATGATGATGATGAGCATGATGATGCATATGATTATGATGATGTTGATCGTGGTGGTGATGGTGATGGTGATGTTGATTATGATGATGCTGATGAGGATGATGACGATGATGATGTTGTCGATGATGGTGGTGCTGGCGATGATGCTGATGATGATGATGACGATGGTGATGATGATGTTGATGATGGTGGTGCTGGTGAAGATGATGGTGATGACCATGGTGATGATGATGGTGGTGATGGTGATGATGATGATGACGACGATGATGATGATGTTGATGATGGTCGTGATGGTGATGATGACGGTGATGGTGATGATGATGGTGATGGTGATGGTGAAAGTAATGGTAGTGATGGTGATGACGACGACAAAGACGATGACGATGATGATGCTGATGATGATGATGGTGGTGATGATGATAATGATGATGGTGGTGCTGGTGATGATGATGATGATGGTGATGGTGATGGTGATGGTGATGATGATGATGCTGGTGGTGATGGTGATGATGACGGTGGTGAGAATGATGCTGATGTTGATGATGGTGGTGCGGGTGATGATGATGGTGATGATGACGATGGTGATGATGATGACGACGATCATGATGATGTTTATGACGATGGTGATGCTGATGATGATGGTGATGGTGACCATGATGATGACGACAATGATGATGATGATGATGATGATGATGATGATGATGATGGTGATGGTGATGGTGACGGTGTTGGTGATGGTGATGGTGATGGTGATGGTGATGGTAATGGTAATGGTTATGTTGAGTGTGATTACGATGGTGATGGTGATGGTAGTGACGTAGTGATGGTGATGACGACAACAACGACGATGACGATGACAATGATGACGATGATGGTGATGATGGTGATGATGTTGATGATGGTGTTGATGGTGAGTGTGAGTGCGGTGGTGATGATGATGATCAGGATGATGAGCATGGTGATGGTGATGGTGATGACGATGATGATGGTCAGTATGATGGTGATGGTGATGATGATGATGATGATTATGCTGATGCTGGTGCCGATGATGATGATGATGATGATGATGGTGATGGTGATGATAATGGTGATGGTGATGGTCAAGATGATGAGCATGATGATGATCATGATTATGAAGGTGATGACGATGCCGGTGGTGATGGTGATGGTGATGTTGATGATGATAATGCTGATGAGGATAACGACGACGACAATGATGATGATCGTCCTCATCAGCAGTATCGTCATCATAATGAGGAGGATGATGCTGCTGATGATGACGATGGTGGTGGTGGCGTGGTGCTGATAATGATGATGATGATGATGATCAGCATCATGATGCTGATGATGAAAATGCGAGGAGGAAGAGGAGGGGTGAGATTTTCCTGCGCGGGGGGGTGCAGAGAAAATGAGAAACCCGCTTCGGATGTGGGGGGGAAATTGTTCCGCGCTTCCGAGGCCCCGATCCGTTGAAGGAGATGGGTCCGTACTCCCTGGCCCACGGTCCCTGGAAAAAACAATGGTTCCGCACTCCCGAGGAAGCGACCCCTCATTGGACAAAAACCAAAAACAAAAGAAACGCGCTCCCAAAGCACGATCATTCATAAACAAAGATTGATCAGCGCTCCCGAGGCCAAGATCTACCGTACAAAAATGTGGCTTCGCGCTCCTGTGGCCACGATGCCTGGGAAAATCAGAGGTCCGAACTCCCGAGGCCACGGTCGCTCGGAAAAAAAAACTATGGTTCCGCGCATCCGAGGCCATGATCCCTCGTGAAAACGCGCTGGATCCGCGCTCCCGAAGCGACGATCGCTCGGCAAAAACAGTGGATCCGCCCGCGAATCCGAAACGACGAGTCCTTGACAAAAAAAAAAAACAAAAAAAAAAAAAAACGAGAGGTCCGCGCTCCCGAGGCCGCGATCCGCGTAAAAAGCAATGAGTCCGCCCTCTCGAGGCCAAGGTCTCTTGTAAAAACACTGGGTTCGCCCTTCGAAGTTGTCAGCCACCCAGCCAGCCTTGCAACCAGCTAGCCAGCATTCGAACCAGCCCATCAGCCAACCAATGAATCGGATATCCTGCCAACCGTTCATCCAGACAGCTAGCCAGCCAGTCGGGTTGCCAGCCTGACAGGCAATCAAAGGGGGGGCCAACGGCAGAGCGAAGCCCTTCGAATCATTGTCTCCCTGCAGCAAAAAACTAAGCCAGTGCTGGCACAGAAGCTCATGCTTATTGGTACGATGTTGCTGTAATGTTCGTACTGACTTTGTATGTTTGATAGTATTCGTGACGCCGGGTAGCATGTATGGCTCCAGTGCGGTTGGTGGCATCTCTCTATATAAAAAGGGTACATCATCTTACACAGCACCCCAGGTTTGATCAACGAGAAAGTCTCGGCTTCCCGCGGCAGGGGCAAGCCAAATGTGCACTGTGAGAGCGCACACCCTGGAAGACAATGGCTCCAGTCCCCAGCCTCCAGCCACCAGCCTCGGAGGCGACCAAGGAGGGACAGGTGAAATACTCACGAAAACTGGATGGCAGAAAAAGTTGGCGCTCCAGGTCGCCAGTGCATGCAAAACTCCAGTCAATGCTTCCACCTGCTGCCGCTAGCTGCTGCTAGCCGCGCCGTTACCCTCGACGGCGAGCGATATGTGCGCGAGGTGCACGCAGAGCTGGTCACCGCAATTCATCTTGAACGGCTCCTTGGGAAGCTTCATGAGCTGCTCGAAGGACTCATCGGTCGCGAATATGAAGGCCAAAACCCGGTTCACGTACGTTACCGACTCCGACGACTCTCCGGGCTTCACCATCCTCGCGACACCAACCGTACATCTACTTCGATCCTGGCCTCGGCTCACCGTGCCCAGGAGGTCGGCGTACGCCTTCCTGGCCTGAGCAGGAAGCCGTATACGTCGATCCTCCGCCCTGGATTGGATTGGCCTGGCCAGGATCGGTGTAGGTGTGCGGTGCCTCCCGATCCTGATCGCCGCCTGCTGGTCGTCTTTCGTCACGTCCCCATACCAGTAAACGCATTGGTCGTCTGGCCCGAGCACGGGGTCGCTGTCCCTGTCGATGCCCATTGCCAGCTGCATGAGGACGTCCATCATCACCTCTTCGGTCTGGAAGAACTCCCTGGCCCGCGGGTGGGCGTACTGGCTCCACTCTCGGATGAGCGCCTGGGAGGGAGCCAGGAATGGGAAGACCTCTCCCCGCTCCGATCCCGCCTCGGCCCCGTCCACCCCTCCTCCCCTCCACATCCCCTGTCCCTTCCCTCTTCCCCCCGTTCCCCTCCTGTCCCCCTCCCATGTCAGGGGCGAGGGGGACTTGCGGCACGAGTCCAGAGGCAAAGGCGGTGCGCCACGCAAAAGGATCAGACGCGAGGCCTTCTAAAACAGAGCGGCGTGGGCGGTGCCGACGCTGGCTCTGGCATTTGCAGAAGGGACCCTGAGATCCGGCGACGCAAGAAAAAATGCAACATCGCGAAAAGGCACGACCAGAGCCCTAGACCACATCTTTCTACTGCACTTCTCGAGTCGAATCAGTATGTGAGGGTCACTGGGCCCGAAACCAGGCGAAAACGCACGATGTGAAAAACGTGCAACGCCCGGGTCTCATGGCTCATGGTTGCGACACCCAGACCCCGACGTCATGACGTCGATCCCCAGAAGTCTCGACCCATTCCCCAGGACCGGTTTTGTTCATTATGCCGAATCGTTGTTTGACGGTCCTGAGGCCCAGAAGAGCCACCGGAAGCCGAAAATTGCGAAAAACAAAATTATGGCGAAGCACCCAACCATACGCAGTTGCGAGTACCGCAATTGTGAATATCTTCTTCGGTGGAGCTCCCTATGGGGCCACGAAGCGCTGCACTGGGTGGGGAGGGACGCATGCGGGCGGTAGCACTGGGGCCGTCGATGGAGCTCCCTATCGGGCCACGAAACGCTGTACTGAGTGGGGGGGAACCATGCGGGCGGTAGCACTGGGGCCGTCGGTGGAGCTCCCTATGGGACCACGAAACGGCGGAATAAGTGGGGGGACGCATGCGGGCGGTAGCACTGGGGCCGTCGGTGGAGCTCCCTATGGGGCCACGAAACGTTCTACTGGGTGGGGGGGACACATGCGGGCGGTAGCAATGGGACCTTTGGTGAGGCTCCCTATGGGGCCACGAAACGCTGTACTGGGTGGGGGGAACGCATGCGGGCGGTAGCACTGGGGCCGTCGGTGGAGCTCCCCATGAGGCCACGAAACGCTGTACTAAATGGGGGGGACGCATGCGGGCGGTAGCGCTGGCCTCTTCGGTGGAGCTCCGTATGGGGCCACGAAACGCTGTACTGGGTGGGGGGGGACGCATGCGGGCGGTAGCACTGGGGCCGTCGGCGGAGCTCCCTATGGGGCCACGAAACGCTGTACTGGGTGGGGGGACGCATGCGGGCGGTAGCAGTGGGACCTTCGGTGGAGCTCCCTATGAGGCCACGAAACGTGTGAGGTGAAGGGTGTGCTGAAACGGGTGATGATGATCATGATGGGAGGAGGGAGGAGGAGGGGGAGGAAGGAAGGGAGGAAGGAAGGAAGGCGGAACGCGGGGCGCTGTCTTCAAAACGAGGACCCAACACCACAGGATGGTTGGGAAGCACGCCAGTGACTTTTGCCATGGCTCGAGGGGGTCTGGCAAGGGAGGGCAGGATTGGACGGGGCCTCTTGCAGGGCCCACCGCAGGGCACAGGCCGCGGGCCGCTCGCACACCGGCACCCGACAGCCACGGCCAGGGTGCCAGTTCCTTGCCAAGACAAACAGGACGCCCCAGATGCAAGGCACCGTTCGGGGAACGGAGAACTACACGAGCGACGAAAGGACCCAGGCATGCTCGCGTCGTGAGGGAAAAAACGGCGGAAGGCGCTTGGCCGTTTTCGGCATCTGGGGGCCTTCGCTGGGTCCCGGGGCTGTCAAAAACGACTCGGGATAAAAGACAGCCCCCAGAAAGTAGTCAGGACTTCTGGGGACCCCGGATTTTAAACAAAACAAAAAAAAACAAAACAAAAAAAAGGTGGTTTGGGGGGCCCGCCAGCCAGCGCGGCCTGCTACATTGGAAACGAGGGCGCTCACGCGCGACCTTGCGCGGGCAGCTTCCGAAGCGAACGTGCGCATGCGAGCCCATTTTCTTCACGTCGCTCACACGGCACCAGCCGTGCAGCACCCAAGCACTTGGCACGAGACGAGCCCCCGCGGCGACCCCCCGGCGACCACTGGGCACCAGCCGTTGGGCACGAGCCCGCGGGCGGTCGACCGCGGCAAGCAGACAGGGCACCGTAGGACCCCGAGCATACGGCGCCAGCCACAGGGCACCCGCGCGGTCGCCCGACTGCGGCAGGCAGCAAGCAGGGGGAAGCTCCTTGCAGAACAGCGCAGAGCGCCGAAATGCAAGCACGGCTTCGGCAAATGAAGCATCGTCCGTCCCCTTCCTGAAACAGAAGGATGCAGGATGCCTGGAGATCTGCGCTGCCCTCCTCCACCTCCTCCTCCTCCTCCTCCGCCTCCGCCTCCTCCTCCTCATGTTCCTTCTCCTCCGCCTCCTTCTCCTCCTTCTCCTCCTCCTTCTCCTCCATTTCCTCCTCTGTGCGGCCTGGTTCTCCTGCTCGGTCCGCGCCCGAAACGAGGCCTCGTCCCTCTTGGACTCCGTGCTGGGCCTCTTGGCTTTGCCCTTCTTCTTCTTCTGACTCTGATCCTCGGGTGGGGGAATCAAGCGCCAGAAAGGAAGAGGCCAGCGCATCGTGGCCGAGGCATCTGCGAAGTCAAGGGCGAGGACAGGGGAGGCGTTGAGAGGAGGAGGAGGAGGAGGAGGAGGAGGAGGAGGAGGAGGAGGAGGGGTCCATGAAATCTGTGAGAACTCGTGGCCGTGACCGTGATATCAACACGTACACACGTGTGTACGTTTGTTTTATAAATACGTGTATACATACATAACAATATGAATATACATGTGGCGTCGCGGCCACACGCGCAGCGGCGGGGCGTAGGTCAAGTCAAGCGGGCGCGCGCTACCATACACACACACACACACACACACACACACACACACACACACGCGCACGCACACACACACACACACACACACACACACACACACACACACACACACACACACACACACACACACACACGCGCGCGCGCGCGCACACACACATTGTTCCTTCCCTGCCGGCTGGTCCAACGCAGCGAATTCTAGGGCGGGACACGCCTAGATCAATTCCAACCAGGCGTTGCAGGTAAATGGTCAGGACGTGGCTGACATGTGCAGCAGAAAAACGGAGCCGATGCACGTGGAAGATGCCGAGGCCACGCAAAGCGGTGTGAAGAGCTCGCGTCAAGCGCCAGAAGAGGCCCAGAAGGCACCATCAGACGCGACTCGCATAAGAGTGCGCGACAAGCGAAACAGGCAATGCTGCTAAGGCGGGGGTGCGCCCTGCTGCAGGGGCGGTGGGTGCGCGCAGTCCACGGGGGAAAAACCGGGCCACAGCAGCGGGGAAGCCTGGCTGCAGGGCTTGCCGCTGAGCTGTGTGCCGGCGGCGTCTCTCGCACCACGCCGCACAGGGCGCAGAAACCAAGCGCGAGCCCCCCGGTGGACGACCCGGGAGAACCAGCAGCAGCAACAGAAGGCACGAGAGGGGAGCGACATCCGGGGACTAGGACGAGCCCGGAGCCCGGGGAGGGAGGACAAGCGAACGACGGGGGGACGGCCGACGACCCAGGGGGAGAGAGGACGAGGCCTGGACGACAGACGAGCGACGAGCAAAAGAGGGAAAGGGCAGAGGAGCGACGCAGGGCGGCGAGAGGAAGGACTCCGACACCACCTGGAGGCACACCGCGCCCGAGAGCAGAGCCGCACCAGGGAGGTCGACCTGCCGGCAGGCCAGGCAGGCGACTCCCTGGTGGGGCCGCTGGGCTGCGCCCCATTGACGCAAAGAGGAGACCAGGGCACGGCGGGCAGGCCCTAGTGGCATCGCATGGTGCGCTGGGCAAAGCGAGGCGAAGCGAAGCGAAGTAAACGCTGGAGTCGTGTGCGCTCCTCTGGGGAGCCCGTCTGTGCCCATTAGGGCATGGCGTGGGGGCCGTGGCCTCAAAAATGTGGTAGAGAGGCGGACTCACATGATCTCGGGAGCGGCCGAGAGGGGGGCGTCAAAGAGGGGGGGGTGCAAATCATGACCAGCGGCATGTGCGCGGCCCAGCGGGGCGGCCAGGGACGTAAGGAAATAAGAAGAGGCGCCATGAAATCTGGGGAAATATCATGGCCCACGCCATAATATCTACCCCCCCCCTAGTCATCACCCCCCTCTTTTCCGCCCCCGATGATCGCCACCACTCCCGGCCGCCGGAATCACCACCGCAAGTCGCTCGTGCTCGTGGTGCGCTGGGCACCCACGCAGCGGGAAGAACCCGAGGCCCAGCGGGGCGGTGCCGAGGAATGGAGAGGCCGCGGCCACCCGACGAGGGCGGGCGAGCCAGGGCGGCAGGGGGAGGAGGAGGAGGAGGACGAGGAGGAGGAGGAAGGAGGAGGAGGAGGAGGAGGAGGAGGAGGGGAGGAGGAGGAGGGAGGGAGGAGGAGGAGGAGGAGGAGGAGGAGGAGGAGGAGGAGGAGAAGAGGAGGGGGAGGAGGAGGGAGGAGGAGGAGAGGAGGAGGAGGAGGAGGAGGGAGGAGGAGGACAGGAGGAGAGGAGGAGGAGGAGGAGGAGGAGGAGGAGGAGGAGAGGAGGAGGAGGAGGAGGAGGAGGAGGAGGAGGAGGGAGGAGGGCCGCAGCTCCTGGGGAGCGAGCTCGAGGAGGTCGGGGTGGGAGGCCAAGGGCCCACGTCCCGGCCCAGGGCGGCCGTCCCTGGCGCGCAGGGCACTCACAGTGAGCAGGGGCGGCGCCGCTGCCGGAGCGCGAGGCCCACGAATCCCACCGGCCCTCTGGGCGTGAGAGGTTTAGAGCGCTGCCTCGTCCAACCCCCGTTTCCTTCCCCTTCGGGGAGGGGCTGATCCCTGCTCACATCGATGAATGCCCCCTCCCCCCGGCGACCGGCAGACAGGCGCCCAGCAGCCTGTTATAGGACCAAGGCCGGAAGCGCTCCATCCCTCTAGGAATTGGTACGATGTGCACTTCGCGGCAGAATTTAGAACATGTTCGGGGGGGGCGCGAGCATTTTTCACAGGGACGGCGGGGGGGGCTCATACAGCTTGCTGCGCGCAAGCCAACCATCCCTGTCTTGAAAAAACAATGCCAAATACACTTTATTTCCGGATCCTGAGCATGCGCGGGCGCCCCCCGACCACTTTGCCTTGGACTTTGACAAGGACGGCGGGGCAGCCCTCATAGTGCTTGCTGCGCGCAGGCCAACAACCCGCTTCAAGTTACAATATGAAGCACGAGTTGTCTCCAAACCTGGAACATGCGCGGGCGCCACGCGACCATTTGCAGCGGTTCTTGACAGGGATACTCGGTTGCTACGTATGTGTTGGGAGGGCGGATGGGAGTGAGCGAAATGGCTTGCGCATTGTGAGCAGGAGGTGTCTTGACCCCTCGCCCCACCCCCCCTCCCCTAGACTTGGACGGGGCGCCCCGCGACCGATTAGAGCGTCCAAGAAGGCCTCGGCGAGAAAGAACAGATCATTGATTTTGCTTGGGTTTGGGGCCCATTTGGGCCTCCTGGTGTGCGGGGCGATGATATGGTATCCCGCCCCTTCTCTAATCGAAGTCCTTCCAGATGGCCACAAGATGGCCCCCAACGCTCCCAAGAGTGTCCCAACAGTGCCCCAAGAGGGCCCCCCAAGAGGCCCCCAAGAGATCCTCACGAGACTCCCAAGAGGCCCCAAGAGGCTGGGCACCCAAGATGCTCCAAGAGGCCTCCAGGACAGCCAAGAGAACCCACAGACGCCCAAAGTGAACTCCAAGAAGCTCCCAAGAGACATCTGAAGAAACTCCGAGAGGCATCCACGAGGCCCCTAGCCGTTATGCCATCCATACTCCTCCTTCTCCTCCTCCTCCTCCTCCTCCTCCTCATCATCATCATCATCATCATCATCATCATCATCATCATCATCGTCATCATCATCATCATCATCATCATCATCATCATCATCATCATCCTCTCATCCTCATCCTCATCCTCATCCTCATCCTCATCCTCATCCTCATCCTCATCCTCATCCTCATCCTCATCCTCATCCTCATCCTCATCAGCATCAGCATCAGCATCAGCATCAGCATCAGCATCATCATCATCATCAGCAGCAGCAGCATCATCATCATCAGCAGCAGCAGCATCATCATCATCATCATCATCATCATAGGCCTGTTCCTTCTCCTCCCTCCTTCCTCCTCCCCCTCCCCCTCCTCCGACTCCCCCTCTATCCTCGCCCTTCTGGGGTATGACGGCTTCCCCAGCTCTTTATTCCACTGCATGCTTCTCCACATCCCTGATCAGGGCAACTCGACTGAGCATGGTTTCTAGATGGGCTGATGGAGTCACGCGAAGTGTCTAGCACGGGGTGGAGGTGTTACGCGAAGGGCTGGTGGGGCTACGCTGGCTTTCCAACCCCTCCAGCCGGAGGGGCCCCAGGAAGTCCCGATCGGGCACGGTCCCCGGAGGAGGGGGAGAAGGCATGGGCGAAGGGGAGGAGGAGGAGGAGGAGGAGGAGGAGGAGGAGGAGGAGGAGGAGGAGGAGGCGGAGGAGGAGGAGGAGGAGGAAGGGGAGGGGGGGAGGAGGAGGAGGAGGATGAGGAGGGAGGAGGAGAGGAGGAGGAGGAGGAGGAGAAGGAGGGGGGGGAGGGCGTGCAGAAGACGGGGGAGAACCGCGCCGCCCGAGGCACAGGCCGACCGGCTGGCTGGGCCGGCCGGGCGACTCCGCGGAAGTGGGCCGGAAGTGGCGCCGACAGGCGGCGAGACCACCCCCCCTTGGGGGGAGCGGCAGGAGGGATCGGCTCAGGATGGGAGCATCGACCTCGAATCGGCGATGCGTCGCCGATCGATCGGCGGAAGGCCCCCGGCAGTGAAAGCGCGCGCTCCTGGGCCGGATGGGCTATCGGGCCCCAATCGGCGATGCTTCGGTCATCGGGGGTTGATGCACCACCCCCTGAGGCTATCCCCCATGACGTTGCCACTGACCCTCGTCCCAGGCCCCCGACGTCATGATTTTGTTCACGACGTCGACCACGAGAGGTTTCGACCCATTCCCTGGAACCGGTTTTTCAGCCCGAGTCCTTTCTTGACGGCCCCCGGGCCCAACGAGGGGCCCAAGAGGCCCAAGATAGCGAGAACCCCTCCGTCGTGATGCTGTTCATGACTTGAGGGGGTCTGGGTTCGACGCCCCCGGCAGGAGGATGTCTGGGCACCCCTTGCCACGAAAAGATCGCGGCGGTGGGCTGCCCACACGCTGCGGGCCTTCCAGGGGGCCCCCGCCGCGGACCCTGGCCGCCACGACAACAGCAAGAAAGAAAGCCCGGGGCGAGAGGCTGGCGCCGCCGACGGGGGTCGAGAGGTCTGGAGTGGAGGCCCGTGCCATGGACAATCGCCGCGTCGGGCGTCCAGGGGCGTGGAAGGGGAGGGAGAAAGGGGAGG